CAAGAGCACTCCCAAGAAGGCCCCAAGAGGCAAAAACTCATTGATTTTCTATTGGTTTTTGGTGAATTTGGGGGTTCTTCTCTTTTGGGCTTCCCGACGCTCCAAGACGGCGGTTTTCTGGGCGTCCGAAGCCGCCTGGGAGGCTCTAAAATCGCCCCATAATCATTCCAAAGGGCTTCCAGGCAGTCCAAGAAAGCCCCAGAACGGCACAACAGGGGTCCAAGATGGCCGTCAGAGAGCCCCATGGCGGCCCAAGATGGCCCCACGACACCCTCCGAAGCATTTCAAATCGTGACCCAGTCGTTCAGGGAGACCGCGGTTGGAAGCAGGGCGACCTGAGGAAGCCCCCAGAGGCCCCAGAACACGCCCAAGAGGCCTCCAGAAGGCCTGAAGAAAGCTTGACATAACTTTTGCAGGGCCCCCAGAGGCTCTCCAAGGAGGAGCCTCCGCAAAAAGAGCCAAGGAGGATGGGGAGAATGCGCAGGGTATGGCGAACATGAGGGGACAAAAAAAAAGCGTGGAGGAGGGATAACGAATAACATTATTATAGCGGCGGTGCCAAAAAAGGCAACAAGGAATTATCGCTGAATTGTCGGCTTGGCCTTCCTGCTATTCCGCCTGCATACCAAACTTCAAGGACCAAAGTGCATGGCGCGATGCGCCACTGCAGTCTTGTATATATATATATATACACATACATACATACATACATACATACATACATACATACATACATACATACATACATACATACATACATACATACATACATACATATATGTATATATATGTATAGATTGTGAGATGGCCCGTATCGTCCTAGCTCTGTGCGTATGAGTCACGTTCGGCCGTCACAGGTCAATGTGCAGGTTGACACCGCTGATGCATCCCTGACTCCCTTTTCCTCCTCCGTTCCCATTGGGGCTCTAAGTCTCGAGGCGCGAGCGCGAGCGCGAGCGCGAGCGCGAGCGCTCGCGGCGGATGGCAAAGGCTCTCTGGACTCATGGGATGCGCGGCGGCGCAGGTCACCCAGTCGTATACCTCCTGCGGTGCCCCGCGGCCCCGGCGTGCCACGCGCTGACCTGCGCGCAGGCCGCGCCCTGCCCGCAGCCTGCGGCGTGCCCGCCGTGCCCGCCGTGCCACGCCAGCCAGTGCCCAGCGTCGCCGGAGGCGGACGGTTGCAACGCGCAGAGCTCGCAGGGGCCGGTGCTGTTCCTGCTTGGCGTGCTGGCGGGCTCCGCGGTCGCCGGCGGGTTCTTGGCGATCGTGCTGAGCGTCGGCCGCGCGGTGAGCACTGGCGCAGGCCGCGGAGGCGAGTATGTCGGAGCGGGGCGAGGAGTAACAGATGGCGTGGTATCGCTATCGAGTGGCAAGGCCCGTTCTCTACCATCACACGTTGCTCTTGAGGCGGCTCCGATCGTCCGCGGACGCCTGGGTCGTCCTCACGCCAGATGGCGACATGTAAGTAGAGGGTCTTGCGATTGGGGAGGACATCCGCGAGCTGCTGCGGGAGAGTGTATCTGGAGTCGAGCCTCCGCAGGTGCGTGGCCGAGGCTATCGCTGTGGTCAGCTTCCTCATGGGGACGGGCTCCGACGGCTGAGTCAGCAGGCGGGTGCCCTGAGTGACCAGGAAGACGGAGCCAGAGGTTACCGCACGGCCGTCGCACGCGGCGACGAGAGCTACGACCTTCCGCCAGTTGAGGGGCTTCCCATTCCGACAGGGCCTCCGACGCCGCGGGGGCCTCCACCATCGCCGCCCCCCTTCAAGCCTCCCGTGCCGCCCGGACGCTGGGCGATTGCCGTCGAGTGCGAGGGGGGGGAGTTGTTGATGTTGTGGAGATCGCCCCGACGGCGCGGGTGTCAGGCGACTCGCGAGTGGGACTGGCCCATCTCCCCAGCGGGTCCTGGGCGTTCGTGGAGCGGCTGCGAGACCTCCTGCGGAGCACTGCAGCCGCATTGCGATCCGCCGCGGAGACAGAGAAGGGAGCCTGGACGCTCGAGTGCTGTCAGTGAGCTTCAACACCTCAGGCGTGCGACAGCGCCTGTGGAGGGAGACGGTGTCCAAGATGGCGGAGGTGACGTTCACAGACTGGCCTCTGCCAGGCCTGCGCACGGTCGACTGGTGCGCGCTGTCCGCGGCCTGCGTTGGCGGGGGCCCAGTCGACCTGCATCGCTTGTGAGTTGGCCACCTCCGCCTGCAGGGCTCCGACTTCGGAGTCCAGGAGCACGAGCACGGGATGCGCGCCTTCCAGTACTTCGGGGAGTACGACCAGGCCGATCTCCCGAACCTGGTGGGGCTTGATGTCATCTTCCGGCGCTGCCAGCTGGTCTAGGACCACTATGAGAAGAAGAACAAGGCCGATGCCAGCAAGGACCAGGGTGCTGGGCTGACGAGGGAGGAGTCGTCCTATTTCACGGGCTTCCACCGGCTCGGCGGGGAGGCGATGATCTGCCCAGAGCTGGTGGAGCAACTGTCTAGGGATATCGAGAAGGACGCGAGCGTGGCCAAGCAGATGCGAAAGGCGCGAGAGGAGGCGCGCCTCTCGCGCAAGGATGGCTGAGCCCATGCGCGGGCGACGGGAAGACCCCGACCTGTCGGCCCGTCTACCGCAGTGGAAGCATCAGCGTCTTCAACATGCTGGTGCGGTTTTTGGCCGACGTGACGCACTGCCGCTTCGTGCTGAGGGCTTCGGTTGCCCGACCAGGATCGACGAGCGCAGCGTCTGTCGGAAGGTCAAGCGGCGCGCGGAGACCAGGGCGCACTCCGCCCAGCGGTGCTCGGATGCTTGGGCGCCGCCCGCTCCCTGAATGAGATCGGAGGCCGCCGGCGCAAGGGCGCTGACCCCGGCGCCTCCGTTCGCTTCCGGCTGCTCGCGCATGGCTTCGGCGCGGCAAATGTGAGAGCCAGCGTCGGACGGCGGGGGGAGCCTCCCACCGACCTGGGGCCTTCAATGAGCTCCGGCAAACCATAGTTACGAGGGTGCCCCTGTGACTGCGGCGTCGGTGGACATTGGCTTGCTCGGCCTGGGTGGAGTCGACTCGCCAGTTGACTTGGTCCAGCTGCTGGGCGACGGCCGCTCTGAGGTCCGCGGCTTGCACGCGACTTTCCCTTGCTGAATGAAGGACCAGGCGGAAGGGCGTTTCGGCCTCGAGGGGGTGCTTCGCCGCCCGTGCTCTGACCCTCTTTTGCATCGGCCTCGGGGGCGCGAGCGTCTCTTGGCCGCTATGTCAAACAAAGGAATGATTGAGTACTCCATAGATGTGACCCTACGGATCAGCACGAGAGGTGCTAGCAAATTTTTGAAATGTGGCACATCCCCTTTGTATTTTTGGACCCTGACCCTGCCGATCTGCGTGAGGGGTGCCGTCGGATTTTCGAAGTGTGACAAATCCTTTTTGTGATTTTGGACCCTGACCCTGCCGATCTGCGTGAGGGATGCCGCCGGATTTCAGAAATGTGGCCTGTCCCATATTATTTAATCGCTTCGCTCATTCCGCCGGCCCTCGAGCGCTCTATGGGGCCTCTTTGACACCTCTTGGGGCCCTCTTTGGGGCCTCCTAGGGCTTCTTGGGAGCCTCATGGGGGTCTCTTGGGGCTCGTTGGCGGCGTCTTGGGGCCCCCTTGGGCCTCTTGGGGGGCTCTTGGGGGCCTCTTGGGGCGGGGTAGTCGAGTGCACCCCCCTCGGAGGCCACAGTCCTCGTGAGGGGTGTCGAAAAAAAAAAGGCCTTCAAAACCATCTCTGAATAGACCTTCCCGGGCTGCGGTCGGGGTACTTTTCGCCGAGGGACCCCCAGGGGCCGCCCCGCGCGCGCGAACTAGAAGAATTGTTAATCAGTTACCGGAGATCTTAGCACGCCTCTGGCCCGTTGGGCCGGCGAATTTTACACCCTGACCCCGCCGATCTGCGTGAGGGGTGCCGCCGAATTTCAGAAATGTGGCAAGTCCCGTGTGTTTCTGGACCCTGACCCCGCCGATTTGTGCGAGGGCTGTCACCGCATTTCAGGAATGTGGCAAATCCCGTGTGTTTTTGCACCCTGACCCTGCCGATCTGCGTGAGGGGTGCCACCGAATGTCAGAAATGCTGCAAATCCCATAAGGTTTTTGGACCCTGACCCCGCCGATCTGCGTGAGAGGTGCCAGCAAATTTTAGAAATGTAGCAAATCCCCTGAATTCTTGGACCCTGACCCCGCCGATCTGCGTGAGGGGCGCCACCGAATGTCAGCCATTTGGCATATCCTCTGTGCTCTTGCACCCTGACCCCGCCGATCTGCGTGAGGGGTGTAATTTTTTACCTTTGGCCCCCCCCCCCCCGCTCGCGCGGTCCATCAACAAGGAATTGTAAGCAGCAAGAAGTCAACAAGAAGCAGTAAGCAGCCAGAAGCAGAATTGTAACAGTGGAAACTGGAAACTGCAACTGGCACAGGAAACTGCCAAGCTTAGGCCTACAGCCTGGTGGCCCCACAAAGGGGGGCGGCGGATTCCAGTACGTTTGAAAGTTGTCACGCCAGAAGGTGCCCGAACAGGTCTCAGACTGGAGCGTCAGCTACACAATTCATAGTTGCACTGGAAGCGGAGAGGGTCATGGAATTGGTGATCATGATCATGATTATGATGATGATGGTTATGATGGTGATGCTGATGGTGCTGATGGTGATGGTGATGTTGATATTGATGATTTTTGCTGCTGCTGCTGATGATGATGATGTGTATTGTGATGGTGATGGGGATGATAGTAATGATGATGTTGCTGATGATGGTGATTGTGATGGTGTTGGTGATGGTGATGGTGATAATGGATGGGGGATGGGAGATGAGGGGTGACGGGTGGTTGATAATAGCGATGATGAGGATGCGAATGAGGAGGAAGATGGTGGATGGTGCTGGCAATGATGGTGGTGATGACGATGATGCAGATGATGATGCTGATGCTGATGATGATGAAGATGATGATGCTGATGGTAAGGACGAAAATGATGCTGATGATGATGCTGATGATGATGATGATGATGATGATGATGATGATGGTGATGGATGTGGCGATGATTAGGATGGTGTTGGCGACGACGATGACGACGACGTAACGGTGATGATGATGAGATGATGGTGATGATGATGCTGATGGTGATGATGATACAATGCTGCTGCTGATGATGGTGATGATGGTTGTGATGATGATGATGATGATGCTGATACTGTTGTTGCTGATGATGATGGTGATTGTGATGGTGATGATGATGATGCTGGTGCTGATGATGATGATGATGGTGATGATGATGATGATGATGATGATGATCGTCAGCAGGAGGAAGAGGAGGAGGAGGTGGAGCGGCCAGGACGGCAGAGACGCCCGAGGGGCTTCAGGCAAACAAGTTGCCGTCGGTTGCCTCCCTGCTACCGCGACTTAGAATGGTGTGCTCTTCTGCGTTCGATCTGCCGCCACGGCGGGCCCAACCTGGGCAATGACAGCCCCGACCTGGCAAGCCGCTGGCGCAGCGCCACATGTCAACCCGTTGTGCTCTAGAGATGGAGGAGCAGCAGGTGGACCATCAACACATCATCATCCCACCATCACCATCAGATCATCATCACATCGTCATCACAACGTCATCATCATCGTCATCATCATCAAAGAAATACGGAAACACTACCAGAACAGCACTTGGCATTCTAACACGCCCACATCGTGCAGGCATGGCGGATTTCTGCACAGTCTCAGAGACGCCCTGGCCAGACACGTCATGACACATAGGTATTGAGCGAAGCGCTTGTCTTCACGTGTCCTGGTTGCCCAGGCGGATATGTGACAAAAGGATGTGTTGAGGATGTCTCGAGGGACACGCTTGCTTTCACGTGTCCAGATCGCCCAGGCGGATGTCTGACATGAGGACTTGTTGAGGTTGTCTCGAGGGACACGCTTGCTTTCACGTGTCCAGATCGCCCAGGCGGATATCTAATGTGAGGAAATGTTGAGGATGTCTCAAGCGAAGCGCTTGCTTTCACGTGTCCAGGTCGCCCGGGCGGATTTCTGACGCGAAGATTGGTTGAGGATGCCTCGAACGAAACGCTCGTTTTCGCATGTCTAGGCCGGCCAGGCGGATGCCAAACATGAGTATTGGTTTAGGATATCTCGAGCGAGCCGCTTGTTTTCACATGTCCAGGTCGCCCAGGCGGATGTCTAACATGAGGATGTGTCGAGGATGTCTCGAGGGAAATGCTTGCTTTCACGTGTCCAGGTCGCCCAGGCGGATGTCTAAGATTATGTGTTGAGCATCTATGAGGCGAAACGCTCGCTTTCACGTGTCCAGGTCGCCCAGGCGGATGTCTGACGCGAAGATTGGTTGAGGATGTCTCGAGCGAAACGCTCGTTTTCGCGTGTCCAGGTCGCCCAGGCGGATATCAGATATGATGATGCGTTGAGAATGTCATGAGCGAGCCGCTTGTTTCCACGTTTCCAGGTCGCCCGGGCGGTTGTCTAACCTGAGGATTCGTTCAGCATGTCTCTAGTGAAACGTCTGCCGCCTTACTGTGCCGTGATGAAAGATTGCCCCATTTTGACGGGTCGGAAGAAGTGCATCCTCCGTCCGCAATGCGAGCACATGTTTGTGCCGCGATGACAGATTGCCCCATTTTGACGGGTCGGCAGAAGTGCATCCTGCGTCCGCAATGCGAGCGCACGTCTGTGCCGTGATGACAGGTTGCCCCATTTTGACGGGTCGGCAAAAGTGCATCCTGCGTCCGCAATGTGAGCGCACGTCGCTAGTCGCCCCGTTAGGGACGTGGAGCCTGGTACAATGTTACGGGGAGGTGCCTCGCTTGGAGTTCGAACCTGGGCTGTCGGGGCGCGGTTCGAACCTGGATTTGGTTCCTTAAATTAAAATGTTATTAAGCCAAACGGGATGGCGGTTCGAAAACGGCAAACCGCGTGGGACATCCTCACAAAATTGGCTCTCAAGACGGTTCGAACTCGGTTCGAAACAATAGAATGCGGTTCGAAACAAAAGCAGAATGAGCGTTTCGCGTGGGGCTTCCCTCACAATACGGCGTTGGACCCAGCTCGAAACAAAAGGATGGCGGTTCGAAAACGGCAAACCGCGCGGGATATCCTCACAAAATCTGTTGTCCTGATGGTTCGAATTCGGTTCGAAAGAAGGGGATGGCGGTTCGAAAACGGCAAACCGCGTGGGACATCCTCACACAAATTCTTGTTCTCACGGTTCCAACTCGGTTCGAAAGAAGGGGATGGCGGTTCGAAAACGGCAAACCGCGTGGGACACCCTCACAAAAATGGTTGTTCTGACGGTTCCACGTCGGTTCGAAACATGCCACAACAGCGTGTGGATGCATCGTAGCCATTACTTCGGCTATGCTAAAAAAGGGCAGAACTTTAATCACGCCCATGTAGAGTGCATCGCATCCCAACGTCGCATGGCACAGCGCAGCTTGGTCGTCCTTCTGCCCGTTCCGTGGCGCGTCCTCCTGCCAGTCCGTGGCGCGTCCCCCTGCCCGTCCGTGGCGCGTCGCCCGTCGCGCTGGCCGCCTTCGAGGCATCTTGGGCCATCTTGGCTGCCTTGGTTGCCTGCCCGGGTCGTCCTGGAAGCTAGGGACGCGGACGCACAGTTTTTGTTCCGAGGGATCGTCGTTTCGGGAGCGCGGGTCCATTCTTCTTCGCGAGGGATCGTGGCCTCGGGAGAGGGGGGATGCCTGCGGATATCTGTTGATAGGGAAGGTGGGGTGGCGAAACAACAACGGTTCCCGCTCGGCACGTCCGCGCAGCTTGCTTCGGATTTCCCCGTAATTTTCTGGGCTCAAGCTACTTGGTGACACTCAGACACTCCGCGCCCGTGTTGGCGTTGACACGCAGATGCAGATGCCAGCAGCGGCGCCCCTCATGTGCAATAGCAGGGGCCTGAAGTTCGACATTCGCACATATGGTGTGCCAGAGAACCCATGTGTCATCTCCATAGTGGGCACCGGCGCCTCGATGAATGGAATGAATCCAATAGTGCGGGGCCTGGCTGAGCGCGATCTATTTGTCATAAATTACAACCCTCGCGACGTTTGCGGCACCGATGCGTTCAAACAGTGCGAGGCGCTCGTGCCAGAAGACAAGAACTTGATGGAGGAACTTGGCAGCGTGTTCACAGCTGACGGAGGTGTGACTCTCGATGGTGATTTCTATGCGCCATATAATTGGTATGACCTGGCGGACGACGTTGCCGCCGTCATGGATGCTAGCAATATCAGCAAGGCCAGCATCATCGGCTTCAGCACGGGGGGTGGCATCGCGCAGGTGGTGATGTGCAGGCTGCCAGATCGCCTCAGCTGCGCCATCATCTGCAGCAGTGGATACGACGTGGTTCCTTCTGAGAAGCCGTTTCAGAACGAGTCATTGCAAGCACTCATGGCGGCATCGGCGACGCTGACACCAGAATCTACAAAAGCAGAGCGAGTCGAGCGCCTCCTGCCCGTGCAGAAGGCCATGTTCGAGATTCCCGATGGCGACCCCAGGGAAGCCATACTCAGGGAGGCGATCGAGGATGATCACGACAATGGCTGGGTGGATACATTTGGAGGGATGAATCCCTTCTCGATCCTCGCCTGGGCCAGCTTCGCAAAGACTCACGGAGAGCACACGGCAAAGTTGAAGGAGAACAGGGTCCCATGTCTCATCATCGCCGGTAAGAGCGATCCACTCGTCCCCTTTGGCCAGTCCGAGAAACTGGCAGCCCAGACAGGGTCATCGATTTTCGAGTCACACGAGCATGGGCACATTTTGGGCCCCGCTGAGAACAGCGAGGCGATGTTGAATACCATCGCGAAATTCATCAAGGAGCATTCGTCGCAATTCTAGTCGTATGATGACAGCGCCGATTGCTACGGGCAGTTTTGATTAAGTGTGTACAGATGCTGGTTACTATTTCGATGCCACTGGGGGACCTCCGCCCATAGTAGCACTTTGCTGCGCTTTTGCACGAGCACTTCTTTGTAAAGCGTGCAGCGCAGTATCAACATTTTGAGATATTCCAGTACGTTTGAAAGTTGTCATGCCAGAAGGTGACCCGAACAGGTCTCAGACTGGAGCGTCAGCTACGCAATTCACAGCTGCACTGGAAGCGGAGAGGGTCATGGAATTGGTGATCATGATCATGATTATGATGATGATGGTGATGATGATGGTTATGATGATGATGATGGTGATGATGATAATAACGATGATGATGGTGATGATGATGGTGATGGTGATGTTGATGATGATCTGTATTGTGATGGTGATGGTGATCATGGTAATGATGATGTTGCTGCTGATGATGGTGATGGTGTCGGTGATGGTGATGGTGCTAATGGACGGGGGATGGGCGATGAGGGATGACGGGTGATAATGGCGATGATGAGGATGCGAATGAGGAGGAAGATGATGGATGGTGGTGGCAATGATGGTGATGATGATGATGCAGATGATGATGATGATGATGATGATGATGATGATGATGTTGATGTTGATGATGATGATGATGATGATGATGCTGATGCTGCTGCTGCTGCTGATGATGATGATGAGGATGATAATGAAGATGATGCTGATGATGCTGATGCTGATGATGTTGATGATGATGGTGATGGTGGTGGCGATGATTATATGGTGTTGGCGACGACGATGACGACGACGCAACGATGATGATGATGAGATGATGATGATGATGGTGATGATGATGATGATGCTGATGATACTAATGCTGCTGTTGATGATGACGATGGTGATGATGGTTGTGATGATGATGATGCTGATGCTGCTGATGATGATGATGATGATGAGGATGATAATGAAGATGATGATGAAGATGATGATGATGATGATGATGATGATGATGATGATGATGATGATGATGATGATGATGATGATGATGATGATGATGATGATGATGATGATGATGATGATGATGATGATGATGATGATGATGATGATGATGATGATGATGATGATGATGATGATGATGATGATGATGATGATGATGATGATGATGATGATGATGCTGATGATGATGATGATGATGATGATGATGATGATGATGATGATGATGCTGATGCTGATGCTGATGATGATGATGATGATGATGATGATGATGATGATGATGATGCTGATGATGATGGTCAGCAGGAGGAAGAGGAGGAGGAGGAGGTGGAGCGGCCAGGACGGCAGAGACGCCCGAGGGGCTTCAGGCAAACAAGTTGCCGTCGGTTGCCTCCCCGCTACCGCGACTTAGGTGTGCTCTTCTGCGTTCGATCTGCCGCCACGGCGGGCCCAACCTGGGCAATGACAGCCCCGACCCGGCAAGCCGCTGGCGCAGCGCCACATGTCAACCCGTTGTGCTCTAGAGGTGGAGGAGCAGCAGGTGGACCATCAACACATCATCATCCCACCATCATCATCATATCATCATCACAGCGTCATCATCATCGTCATCATCATCACAGAAATACGGAAACACTACCAGAGCAGCACTTGGCATTCTAACACGCCCACATCGTGCAGGCACGGCGGATTTCTGCACAGGCTCAGAGACGCCCTGGCCAGACACGTCATGACACATAGGTATTGAGCGAAGCGCTTGTCTTCACGTGTCCTGGTTGCCCAGGCGGATATCTGACAAAAGGATGTGTTGAGGATGTCTCGAGGGGCACGCTTGCTTTCACGTGTCCATATCGCCCAGGCGGATGTCTAACATGAGGACTTGTTGAGGTTGTCTCGAGCGAAACGCTTGCTTTCACGTGTCCAGGTCGCCCAGGCGGATGTCTAATATGAGGAAATGTTGAGGATGTCTCAAGCGAAGCGCTTGCTTTCACGTGTCCAGGTCGCCCGGGCGGATGTCTGACGCGAAGATTGGTTGAGGATGTCTCGAACGAAACGCTCGTTTTCGCATGTCTAGGCCGGCCAGGCGGATGCCAAACATGAGTATTGGTTTAGGATATCTCGAGCGAGCCGCTTGTTTTCACATGTCCAGGTCGCCCAGGCGGATGTCTAACATGAGGATGTGTCGAGGATGTCTCGAGGGAAATGTTTGCTTTCACGTGTCCAGGTCGCCCAGGCGGATGTCTAAGATGATGTGTTGAGGATATCTGAGGCGAAACGCTCGCTTTCACGTGTCCAGGTCGCCCAGGCGGATGTCTGACGCGAAGATTGGTTGAGGATGTCTCGAGCGAAACGCTCGTTTTCGCGTGTCCAGGTCGCCCAGGCGGATATCATATACGATAATGTGTTGAGAATGTCTTGAGAGAGCCGCTTGTTTCCACGTTTCCAGGTCGCCCAGGCGGTTGTCTGACCTGAGGATTCGTTCAGCATGTCTCTAGTGAAACGTCTGCCGCCTTAGAGTGCATCGCATCCCAACGTCGCATGGCACAGCGCAGCTTGATCGTCCTTCTGCCCGTTCCGTGGCGCGTCCCCCTGCCAGTCCGTGGCGCGTCCCCCTGCCCGTCCGTGGCGCGTCGCCCGTCGCGCTGGCCGCCTTCGAGGCATCTTGGGCCATCTTGGCTGCCTTGGTTGCCTGCCCGGGTCGTCCTGGAAGCCAGGGACGCGGACGCACAGTTTTTGCTCCGAGGGATCGTCGCCTCGGGAGCGCGGGTCCATTCTTCTTCGCGAGGGATCGTGGCCTCGGGAGAGGGGGGATGCCTGCGGATATCTGTTGATAGGGAAGGTGGGGATGCAAACCGCTGGAGCAGCGCCACATGTCAACCCGTTGTGCTCTAGAGGTGGAGGAGCAGCAGGTGGACCATCAACACATCATCATCCCACCATCATCATCATCAGATCATCATCACATCGTCATCACAACGTTATCATCATCAAAGAAATGCGGAAGCACTACCAGAGCACCACTTGGCATTCTACCACGCCCACATGGTGCAGGCACGGCGGATTTCTGCACAGGCTCAGAGACGCCCTGGCCAGACACGTCATGGCACATAGGTGCGGCGCCCTCGCCCGAGAATTACCCGCCCTTTACTCAGGGTGGCGAAACAACGACGGTTCCCGCTCGGCACGTCCGCGCAGCTTACTTAGGATTTCCCCGTAACTATCTGGGCTCAAGCTACTTGGTGACACTCAGACACTCCGCGCCCGTGTTGGCGTTGACACGCAGATGCAGATGCCAGCAGCGGCGCCCCTCATGAGCAATAGCAGAGGCCTGAAGTTCGACATTCGCACATATGGTGTGCCAGAGAACCCATGTGTCATCTCCATAGTGGGCACCGGCGCCTCGATGAATGGAATGAATACAATAGTGCGGGGCCTGGCTGAGCGCGATCTATTTGTCATAAATTACAACCCTCGCGACGTTTGCGGCACCGATGCGTTCAAACAGTGCGAGGCGCTCGTGCCAGATGACAAGAACTTGATGGAGGAACTTGGCAGCGTGTTCACAGCTGACGGAGGTGTGACTCTCGATGGTGATTTCTATGCGCCATATAATTGGTATGACCTGGCGGACGACGTTGCCGCCGTCA